ACTTTTTAGCGCGGACCCGACGTCCATATAATTGTAAGTCAATGGTTACATGTATACGATGCGCTTCGACGTTGAAAACATAAACATGTTATTGTCTTTGTTTAACTATTGCGTGCCGTCTTAAGCCAACAGAGATAGCATTACACTGGTCTGTGTCAAACATGAGAAGCGAAAATACGTAACTTCATCTTAAATGCCAACCGTGTCCATTTCGCAGTACATGAGGTACATGATACGGTTGTTAAAGGGAAGTACATCAAATGTCAAAACTAATGTTTTTCCAAGTGTTTTATTGAATTATTCGCATGTATTGTAAAAAAATGGACAAAAATATTGACAGTGAGAGCAATTAAGCATTCATAAAAAATCGTCGCTGCAGCATTACGGAATGTGGCATTTGAATAAGCGAAGATCGACCGAATATAACATTGTACAGCCACGTGTTATTTTTCCCTCTATAAATCACACAAAAGCCCAAATATCTCATGTAATTAGACATATTTAAGTAGTTTATTCTTAAATCTTGCCAGGTTTTGCTTTGGTTTCTTCAGATTGCCTGTTTGTTTGTTTGTATATTTTGATGATTGTTGTTAACGATTATTTTGAGGTAATGTTGTTCTTGGAAGCGTACATATTATCGATATTCTGTTATTAAAATAATTCACTAGGAGGTTTTTATTATTATTGTTTTTACTATTTCAAGTTTACCTACAAATCAAAAAAGAAAAATGAATGGTTAGAAATCATACCGCCGTATAATAGTGCCGAATATAAACATTGGAACAAAGACCATTTTCATTTATTCGCTTCATTTTGAAGAGTCAAATTTTAACATAACTTTGAATGTAACTAGATTATATGATAATGCAATTCCATCATTAGGTGTATTGGTAAATATTTTTATATTAAATTTAAATTAAACAAGGCTCATTTACTAGGCATTTTCAGTGCCTGAAAACAACGAAAACATCGACTCGTTTCCGATTTTGTTCCTACTGACAACCCTAACTACTAAAAATTATTATTTTATAAAGCCAGCAATGCAATGACCATGTTGGTCTAACGTTGCCTAACGTGTTCGTTTGACATGTCTTGTCACAACTTGCAGTAGCTCGTGACTACTTGTCTCACGTCGTAGAAGTGTTGATTTTTCTGTACAAGTCAAGGGCGCTCAGCCAATAGTAGTCAATTGACATTGTATAACTGATTATATTTAATATATGGGAAACATGTTTATACTAACACTGTCTCTTGATACATCTCCTGTTATATCATGTTCACGCAAATAAACGTATGATAATAACATTATTATTGATAATATTACTACTATCATTTATTTCAAAAATTAAATAGAAGTATTAAAGATTCACTTAAATCAGTTAGTCTTAAATCACTGATATTAATTCTAAACCACTGCATAAATACAAAAAAGCCTACACTATTTGGAATCTGTTTAAAAATGTATCTATGAAAATATGAATCTTGAGGTTGGAAATGTATAGGAGTTATATTTCAAAGTTTTTTCTTTTTATATACTCTCAAACATTGACTTACAATTATATGGACGTCGGGTCCGCGCTAAAAAGTGTCCGAACTTATAGGGCGTTAAAATCGTATACAGAGCGTCATTCACGCTTTAGTCTTCGTTTGTTCGACTGACAGCGAAGCAAGCAAAATCAGACAGTACTGCGATGACATTACAATTTAAATTCAACGTTTTAGCTTTTTCATATTCATTTACATGTCACTACGTTTAAATAGGTTGACTTGGGACATTTTTTTCGTGGTTTTTGTATTAGACCCGTCGTCCATTTATTTGTAAGTCAATGCTCTCAAATTACATTTTTTCTGTGCAAATTCTCTTTTCGTAATATTTGAGTATTTGTAAACGCAAAACAATAAATTCAAAATTTAATGTGACATTTCCGGATATTCCCATATAACCTAAAATATTCCCAAATGGAATATTAATCAACTTTAATTAAATGTTTGCATGTCGATAGTGACTTATCGATAGATGGTACGACACTAAATGAATCTGCCATTTGTTGGTTCAATTTTTGTTTAGGTAAGCACGTTCATTCCGTAGTTAGGGCACCTCCTTTCTTTTATTTTTTTTTTCCATCCTCTAAGGCGTAGAGGGAGAATTGGGTAGAGGGGCTCTATAAATAATAAAAACCGTATAAGCGAGATAGATTTACTTTCTGCACAGACAGAACGACAGAAACGAGAAAACAATATTATTTTTTGTCCCTTTCTACGTATGCGGTTTTGGTTGTATGACTCAACGCCCGTTGAGTCCAGCAAATCCGAGTGTTTGATGTGCATCGATTTTATGTGTTTGTGCTTTTAAGAAGTGTTTTACAAAGTTAGTAACCGTTCCTTTGTAGTAGTTGACAATTATTGCAGCTCACAATAATGGTGAATTGTTGTATTTTAGGCTGTAAAAGCCGTACGGAACGAAAAATTCCCAACATAACCTTTCACACGTAAGTTTTAATTCTTCATTACAATCAATTTTATTTGTAAGTCAATGCAATCAATGAATTTTCTTGTATGAATTACTAGTGAAATACTCTTACAAGAACGGAATATTACGATTTCATGTATTTTAGATGATATTTGAAGTGTTTTTCTTGATTGAATGATTTTTGTTTGCATCGTATAAACCTCCTAAAATAAGGAGAATATCTTAGTTTTGTCAAATATGTCCATCTCGCTTCTACCAGCAGTGGTTATAATACGCGAGAAAGAAAGATCAAATAAATAACCTACAAATTAAATTAGACAGACTTAAGCTGAATTTAGGGATACCGTGCTTTTGCCGCTATCTTTTCCCCAATTTTTTGGTCATTTTAAATATTGTATTTTTTTACTTTTCAATACTTTTTCAGTATTCTTCAACGCTTGTTATTTTGCTACCTTACATGTGGATTAACTGATTTCAAATAAATAATTGTCAGTTGGTTTTAAGTGTGTGACGTTGTGACCTCCATACATCGTCATCCCACCTTTTTGTATCGCTTCTCTCCATTCGTAACGTATCGTTTTTTCTTCTACTCGTATTTAAATTTAAAAATTTGAATTGTTCCATCTTCCTTCGCTTTCGAAATATGTATACTAAGTTAAAACTATTCAAGGGCCAATAAAAAAGTAATGATTTGTCATAATTGTTCTATTTCGTTACTAAAACTCAACCAAGCTAAATGTGGTCTGGCGGATTCGCCTTCCTTAGACTCGGCAGATTTCATCATTATCATGAACCCATTTATACGTCCCACTGCTGGGTACGGGTCCTCTCAAGCGAGTGCTTAGGCGACAGTCCACCACACTGGCCCAATGAAGGTTGGGGACTGCACACGTTTTCCGAGGACTTTGAACCTTCTTCAACGTTTCATCACGATGTTTTCCTTCACCGAAAAGCTCATGATAAATTTCAAATTAAACTTCGCACAAACTCCGAGAAACTCAGAGGTGCGAGTCTGGACTCGAACCCACGACACTCTGCTTGAGAGGCAGTAGGTCAAACCATTAGGCTACCACGGCTTCATTTTCATTTCAATTTCTTTAACTAGAGGGAGGGTGGGATAATTAACTGCATGAAAAAATATTCAACACAAGCGCAGCTATTTTGCACGATTTAACCTTCACTGGGTTCGCGGAGTAGCAAATTAACTTACTTTCATTTTTGTTATTATAAAGCAATAATAACATTTTCGCACAGAGATGTAACAGAGTTGGTACCCAAGAGAAGGCAAACGCAGACTGGGAAGGCAAAGATAAAGATGGGACTTAAAATTGGTGGCAGGCCCATTTTGACAACAACAGGCACGAGACAGGGAAAAATGGAAGTTTCTGGAGGAGGCTTACGTCAAAAGACAAGCTGATGTGGATGTAATTTAATTATAGGAAAATGTTTTGAATTACTAATATTGAAACTATTTAAGTATTAATTTTAATTGGAAATTTGTCTATTATTTTTAGTATTAATCTAGGTAATTAAGATATTTTTTAATAATTACTTGTTTTTTCTAATAACAAACTATACTGTAATATTTGAATTGAATTGTATCAGCAATAAAGGCTATTATTATTATTATTAATAATAATAATATTTTCACAGATAAGAAATTTGTTCTAACAAAACAGTTTACTTTATGCTTGTCGTAATTTGCGGTTTTTGAACACATGTGTGTAGATAAAAAAAATTAACCATCAATTTCTGGACCCCAATGTAGTAGTAGTCAAATCGATTGGAAATACTCAACTCTACCCCCTCAATTCGTTTAAGACAGTCACTTCCAGGCCACCTGTATTGTTTGGGAAATTTTGTTTTCAAGGTTAGATTGGAAGGTGGTATCAACTACATGTAGGATATTAAATTTGGGGTAGGTGATGATGGTATGTCTTTAGCTTTGAGTTATATTCAGTTTTGACTTTGGCAGGTAACCAGGTAATCAGCACCAGCTGCGGGCGGGGCGGCAGCGGCGCAGCACAGCCTACGCGCAGCAAGCCCATTGACATACAATGCTCACGCACCAATAAGAACAATAACCATGCAGGTGTGCTGCTAATTTTTCTTATAAGGACCTATTTGTGCTCTGAACACATTTCTTTATTGTGCTATTATTTGTGAAGAATGTGTAATGACTATGGAGAAAACCTGTAAGGCTAACGCGACGACCTGTCGTGCTATCCTTATTGTAAAATATACATTTTGAATTGGTAGTACTAAATGTTGACATGTGGTATTTTGCTCTAGCAATTCTAAGTGAAGAGTGCACTATCCTCATCCATGTTCACTTGATGACCACCATCATTAAATAACAAAAGTTTGGAGCTGGCTGCCGCCACGTGTATGTACTTAAATTATCGATATGACCATAGATCAACAAGTCAAGAGGCCTGCTAATCGCCGATACAAGAAAGCGTATTTACGTATTTAGTACCTGTTGGTACACCAGATGTCGTGACGAGTACTAAAATAACTACTTTTGTAACCAATTTGTTTTACATTGACGAGCTGCAATTTTATAATAATAAAATAATAATAATAGCTTTTATTGCTGATACATATCTCAAATGTTACAATATAATTCATTAATAAAAAATTCTTACAATTCATTAACCAAAATTTAAAAGTAACTATTTTTAAATTAATACGAAATATTAAAACAATAGACATAAATTTTGAATTGAAAATTAATACTTAAATAGTTTATAGTGATTCTGTGTGCAACATTTTTCTATAAAGTACATCATCAGTTTGTCTTTCGACATAGGCCTCCTCCATATATTCACTTTCAGTTCACCCAGGCTTGTGCCTGCCGTTGCCAGAAAGGGCCTGCCACCAAAATTGTAGATCATCTTCCCATCTTCTTCTCTGCCTTCGTTTGCCTTCTCTAGGTTACCACTCTGTTACCTATGTTTCTGGTCCATTTTCCTGTCTCCCTCATGATGTGTCCAGCCCAACGCCATTTCACCTTTCTCATGTAGTCCTTGACATCATGTACTATTGTTCTACGTCGAATTGACTTGATGCTATTTCTGTTTTTTCGTCTCATGTACATCATACTTCTTTCCATGCTTTGGCATACCTCTTAGCTTTTTGTGTTTTTTCTTGTTAGCGACCAGGTTTGACAACCATATGGTGTGTATATGGATGCAACTGTCAAATACTTTCTTTTTTACACTAGTTGGGATATCTCTATTTTTCATAAATTCTTTTAGGGACTTTTCTATGAATTGGTGACTCTTTGATCCACCTCTTTTATCATTTGGTTAGCAGGTGATAAGATCTCTCAAAGTATAGGTATGTACTCCTCTACGTATTCAATAAGTTTACCATTTAATTTTATTATTGACTTGTTTCCATTTGTCATGAGTTTTGTTTCTTCGACATTAATTGCTCGACCCACTACTGCGCTCTTTTGTGCAAATTGTTGTAGCATCAATTCCAATGTTTCCGGATTTCCCGTAATCAAGATCGGCAATCAGAAACAGCTTTGGGGATAAGGGGGTCTCCTTGTCTTATTCCTTTTTCTATTGGAAATTCCTCGCCATTTTTTTCTTATTTAATTTTTGCGAAGCTGTTTTTATAAATTTCTTGTATTATTATGTTATATTTTTGATGTACATCTTGTTGTTAGAGTGCTTCCCATAGGTGTTTGTGTTTTATGCTGTCAAAACCCTTACCCACAAATCCCAGATAGTAAGTAGATTTTGCTGTTTATGTTACATTTTGTTCGTTTGGATTATTGGATTTGGATTGGATATTTGGATTGCTTGATGTTATGGACATGGTCAAGTGTCGAGAAGATTCTTCTAAATCATGCTTGCTCTCTAGGTTGTTTTCCATGTAACGTTTTTGTTATTCTGTTTAGTATAACTTTCGAAAAAACTATATACATTATGCTTATTGGTCGATTGTTTCTAATTTCGCTTCTGTCACCTTTCTTATGTAACAACGTTATTGTTGATCTCATCCACTGTCTAGGTATGTATTCTGTATCTAAAATGATGTTGAAAATACTCGTGAGCGGGCCTCTAATACTAATGTATTAGTTTCCTTAGAAGTTCGCTGGTGATCATATCCCCGACTGCTGATTTATTGTCTTTCTGTGTCATAATGTTGTCTGCAGCTCTTACTTCGTGATGTAGGTCTTTGTAAAAATCTGTGGCAACTTGCAAGGTAGATTGTCTTTTCGCTGTTGGAACTTCTACTTGGTTTTTCATATTTGGTATCCAGCTAGTAGTATCTTTTCGTTCCCTCGTGCTCTTCTTATTCCGTCTTTCTGAATATGGTCTAATAGAAATTTTGTTCTTGTTTGTTTTCTTATGTCTCCTGATGTTCATATTTATGTCTTTACTTACTATTGTATTGCTTTTCTATTTTCGTTCTCATTCATAAGGTAGCTTTTTTCAAATTTTCAGATTTGTTGTTTGTTCACGAATTTTGTCAATATCTTTTGATCGTTCATTCCGTTCAGCTTCTGCATTTTTTTTTCTAGTATGTTGTATTTTTCATGTAGTGCTGCAGTTTTCATTGTATTGATCTTCATGTGAATAGTTTCCTTATTGTCGTCTAATAATTCTTCTGGTATTTTTTGACAGCAATATGAGGTGCATGCGTACCATCTCACTTTTTTGGGTCCTTGCGATGCTAAAGTACCCCTTAATGGCCAGTGGTCTGTACTAAAGTTTAGTGTGTCCATTACATCGACATCTTCCGAAATAGATTGTATTCTTACCAACGAGCTTACAACAAGCCTAAATAGGCTCGTTGGTAAGAATATAGTCTATTTCGTTTAGTGTTTTCCCATCAGAACGTTCCGCAATTTTATGAAAGCTACTCTAATTTCACGCAAAATAGGCGCCTGGATGTCGAGTTGCAAACACCAGCCTATCGCACCATGATTATTAGAGTGGCTTCATTCCAGGCATATGCAGCCCACTGCGACCATCAGCTGATCGTGATCAAACTATACCATACTCTAATTTCCACTGATAACAAACAAATCAACTAGATGACGCTTATTGCACAAATTTTTATGGATATAGCAAGCGTTAATTTTTAAATTAGTTTGTAACACAATGCCATCTATTGATATGCATACATGTGCGCACTATAAGTTTCCGGAACTGGCCACTTATATAAACAATATTTAAAAAGTAATTACAACATTTGAAAATGGAACTCTTTGGCCGTAGAATACAGTTTGTTACATCTGTCTGTCACTTGCTTTTACATTGTGGCGTCATTTTAGAAATTGGTTGTCTACATCACCATGGATTTAACTCGTGAAAATTTTCGTAGTACGATTTTCTACGACTTTAAGGTTCGTATTCCAGAACTCTACTCAATGCTCAAGTCAGGATTTGAGCAGACTTGAGTATGATTTCAAGCACTGGAAATACGACCCTAATGGCAAGGACTTGAGTATGATTTTCAGTGCTCATTGCATTACTCAAGTCCTGACTTGAGTATTGAGTAGAGTTCTGGAATACGACCTTAAGTGTAATTTAACAGCTCAGCGGAGTTTCGCTCGGCTTCAAACTGCTTTTGGCGATGAAGCACCATGCAAGACGACTATTTATAGCTGGTTTGCAGAATTCAAACGCGGTCACAACAAAAACATTGATGCTGTGCGCCGTATGATCAAAACTGACAGGCATGTGACATACTATGAGATTCGGGCATCTTTAGGCATAGGCATGAGTCAAATATAATCAATACTACACAAACATTTGGGTGTGAAAAAGATGTGCTCTAGATGGCTCCCACACAATTAGATTGAGGCTCAAAAAACGGATCGCGTCACTTGGTGCAATGCCAAGCTTACCAGATTCAACGAAAGTGCGTCAAATTTGGTGTGGGACATAGTAACAGGTGACGAAACATGGATTTATAGTTACGATCCCAAAACAAAGCAGCAATCGGGTCTTTCGAGATGAGACCAAACAAAGCGGCGCGCGTGCAAAGTGCCTCTGAGCGGATGATTGCTTCTTTTTTTAAAACTGGACACGTGGCTACCGTTGCTTTGGAGAATCGTTGTACCGTGAATGGTGATTGCTACACGACCATTTGTTTGCCGGAAGTTATTGACAGACTCCTAAAAATAACCGTAAACGCTGTATCATCTTGCACCACGATAATGCCAGTTTTGACACAGACAGACAGACAAATGAATTTTTGAAGGTGAACAACGTTGACCTTATGAGCCATCCCGCATACAGCCTCGACCTGGCACCTTGTGACTTTTATTTATTTCCAAAAATTAAGAACCAGGTACGCGGTCAACGATTTTCATCACTCGAAGAGGCTGTCGAAGAGTATGAAAAATATGTTTCAGAGATTGTTACGGAGGAGTGGCATGTTTTAAATATTGGTTCATTCGTATGAAAAAGTGCATTAACGCTAACGGAGAATATTTTGAGAAACAATAAATTCATTTCTGACCATTTATAGTATTTTTTTCTTATTCATTGCGGAAACTTATAGTGCGCCCTACGTATTTGTCAAAGTTCAGGAAATAATTTTAGCTCATGATCACTATTTCAATAATAAATATAACAAGGAAAAATTGACCTCTTATATTTAAGATTAAAGAGGAATTAGTTGACGTCGACTGCCATTTTACATAATATAAATTACTTGTAGGCTATCGGTCAGCGCCATCTAGATATAAGATGGGATCATTTATCAGTCCTCTCGACTTATTGGTCCACGGTATATGTAATGACTGCAGTTTTTGCACAGGTTCATGTTTGTTAAAGGTGGCTCTGGAATTGGAAATAGTTTATCGCATTATTTAAAAGACAGTTTTTATCAAAATGTCATCTCTGAGCAATTATGGTCAAAATGTGATCAAATACAATTTCATATGGAACGGTCATAGCACAGTGTTTTATAAACCCCAATTTTGTGACATGCCTTTTTTTCCGGATTTCTGTAGTTTGAACTGACACAAATGGAAGAGTTGAACTCCGGTGACAAATATTTATAGTTAGAGAAAAATAAAATTAAAAACTGCTTAATTTTCGTCTGGATAAATATAAAAAAAAAATATAATTTATATTTGAAAATTATTGACCAACCGACTTAGTCGTTCGATGAAACCCTAAGTAACACACATTTTAAAGTAATCAGCAATGACATAGGTTCATTCGTTACAAAGTTATTTAATCTTTTTTTTTATTTCGTTTTCTTTTTTACTTCAATAATCCGCCGTATTAGTTGAGATTATTAGAAGAGAGAGTTGAGTTGAGTATTAGAAGAGACATACCCTAAAATTATCGTGAATTATTTCCATGGTTTTTATTTATTATTATTGCGTTGGCATTGATTTTTATTTTTTAGTCAGGGTTTGCACTAACAATGTTATTTTATTAAAAATTCAAAAAGAAATTCTCATTATTTAAAATATTTTTATTTAGAACTACGGATAATCGATAACATAGGTTTGCAATATAAAAAAACCAGTGTTACCTGTACTATTTTTTGTGCTGGTTACGGAAAAAAATCCTTGATCGTAATGCAAATCACACGTTAAGTTTACACTATTAAAGCTTTCCTGACAGACATTAAAATAAGTTTTTATTACTTAAAATCTGTATAATAAACAACGTAAGTTTAGGACAACAATATGAATCAGTCTCTTTTATTGCATTGTTGTCAAAGAGTACCTTGTTGTACATGCACGTGCGCGCGGCCTTTTTAGATGAGATGAGATAGATGGGCTTAAATGAGAACATTAGTCAAATAGAAGCATTTTGTAATAATACCTTTAAAACCCGGGCGCTTGCCCGCCCACCAGTCAAACTTGCATTTATATTAATAATAATAACAAATCACACACTCAACATAGCCCCGCACTGGGGAAACCCTGTGTCGCGGGTGCCATGGATACACACACATAGACAACCACAAATTACACCCAAACTCACGAGAGACATAATGTAGGTCATACAAATATTTCTCCCGGCCGGGGAATCGAACATAGGACCTCTGCGTGACAGTCCGGCATGGTAACCGTTCGGCCACGGAGGCAGTTAAGCATTTTGGCATTTTAGGCATTGTGATACTTTTCAGTTTTTTACGTTTTAATAATAATGGCTTCTAAAGGATTTATTAATTCTCCAGGTTTTTCCTAAATTTATGGGACTTATACAGTTAAAAAGCAACAAAATATTTTTGATTTTATCGAAAAAGTTTACTTTCACAAACAAATATGGGAAAAATAAGAAACATTGGGCTCCTTACTATGTATGTTTGTGTGTGTAGAAGACAATCCCAAGGCGCACACTTTATACATCTTAAAGCTATTACATCTATAAACAGTCTTATTAAGGTATAGGTTTAGGTGGTGGTTCTCTATAAATGGTTTCAGAAAAAGAAATTGGTCTTATAGACTTATTTCACTCAAGTCAAAATTTTAAAACCTTAATACCAAACAACTTAATAAAATGTGGTCTCTCTTAAGATTTACTCTTATAGCCATTATTTTAAATTCATCTGTAGATCAACTGATTATTTTTAGTAAAATTGTTCTCTATACATCCAGTAAAGTCTATTAATGCTCTAAAAACTACTGCTCTTAAGTTTATTCTAGATATATTTCACTTATAGACATTCTGTAGTGTTTATGGTTATTGACAAACACGTTATAGCGCGTTTTCAGTAGATTTTATTTAAAAAATAATGGAATTAATTCATGATAGTTTTAGGGTGTGTAGAAGACAGCAAAAGCAACCGCTGGTGTAAAAATCTAAACCTAATGCTGCGGATTATTGAATAAAAAAAACGAAAACAAAAACAATTACTTTAAAATGTGTGTTATTTATGCTAAACGTATCGAACGATTAAATTGGTTGGCTAACAATTTTCAAATGAAAATTGCGTCGATTTTAATTTTTTTTTCTTTGAAACTAAATATTTGGCACACCGGAGTTTTACTCTTCCATTTGTATCAGTTCAAACTACAGGAATTTGGAAAAAAGTGCATGTCACAAAAATTGGGGGTTTTAAAACATTGTGCGAAGTGAAAGTGGCTCATATTAGTTTGTATAAATAAATATTATAATATATTCATTTTGGTTTTATTCAGATTCAATAATTCGAACAAACGTGTACAGTGAATACGTGTGGCGGATTCGTATTTACGCATTTCGACGGTCTTGATTTCAGAAACCGTGAAATCGCGGTAGGGCACGACGTTTATTACGAATTCGGAGCGCGCATTGTATATTTCGGACGGAGCGGCCGGAACGTCCGGCGCGTCGAGTCGTACGGTTTTTCGAAGCGGTCGGACGGGCGGAGGTAGAATGAACGCGGAATGTGAACGCAGGCAGCTTCGGCAACGCGGGCTCCGCGCCGAAGGGGCGCGGCGGCGCGGGCGGCGACAAGGCGCGGCGGCGGAACGAGGCGTGCTTCGGCGACGGCGCGCAGCCGCCGCTGGACCGGGACTTCGACTTCGAGGGCAACCTGGCGCTGTTCGACAAGCGCGCGCTGTGGGAGCAGATGAACAGCCAGAAGCCCGACCTGCTGCGGCAGGCCGACGACGCGGGCAAGTACCGGCACGACGAGAACGTGCTGGGCGGCGGCGGCGCGGGCGCGCGGCGCGCCATCCGCGTGCCCGACGAGCTGCGCGGCGCGCTGGACTACGTGACGGACGAGGCCGTGTGCGTGCCGTCGGTGGCGGGCGCGCTGCGGCGCCAGCTGTGGGAGGCGCTGCAGCGCGCGGGGCTGCTGGAGAGCGCGAGGGCGCTGCTGGCGCGCGGCGCGGCCGACGTGGCGCTGCGGCTGGTGGA